TGCAAATCAAAACTACAGTGAGATATCATCTCACACCAGCAATAACAGTGAAGTTCAAAAATGCAAAGGACCATAAATGCTGCCAAGGAAGTGGAGACACTGGGACCCTCCTACATTGCTGGTGGGATCGCAAAATGATCCAACCACTATGAAAAACAGTACGGTGCTGTCTCAGAAAGTTGGAAATAGAAATACCTTACGATTCAGCAATCCTTTTACTTGGTATTTATCCATAAGAAATAAAAGTCATAACACGAGTAGATATATACACATCAATGTTCACAGCAACACTAGTCACAGTAGTAAAAAGAAGAAGGCAGTCTTAAGTGCCCATCAATGAAAGAATGGATAAACAAACTTTGGTACACCCAAAGAATAAATTATTATGCTACCTTGATGAATAACAGGGAAGCTGTAAGCTACCACAGAGCATGGATGAACCTTGAGGGCATTATGCTGAGTGAAATTTAGTCAGTCACAAAACGAGAAATACTGCATAAGACCATTATTATAACAGCAAAAATACCCACTAAATCAAGAACAAACAAGATGGCGGATCAGGCAAACGTGTAGTGAAGAGCTCAGCCAACAACACAGAATACCCGACCAAGCAGGCACAGGGGATGGTCCCAGAACTCTGAACCACATATAAAGGAATATTTAGAAAGTTGGAAGGATTACAGCTGGGGGAATCTGTGGCAGAAGCAAGAAATCTATTGTATTCTAGCCCGGGACACTAGGCTGCCCAGGAGCCGCCATCTTGGGTGAGACCATGTTGGGGAAGGATCGGAGCAGCCACAGACGCCTGGCAGAACCGCAGAGATAAAGGTGTGGACTTTATTTTCTTTTAGTAGCTGTTCATTGGTCCCTTGCTGTCTGCACACCTCCATTCTGGTGACTATAGGGGTGCCTGAGCTAGTGGGCACCCTAGCACCACCCTCGGAGGGTTCTACTACGCATGCGCACAGATCTCAAAATTTAAAGAGACAGTTTCCAATTAAAACCAAATGGCCACAGCCGGCCCTGAACTGTTTCCAACTAGAAAAAAGGGACTGTGGAACGGGACAAGCAGACAAACGAGGAAACAGGCCGAAAATTAAATCCTAAATTACATCAAAGCAACCAACAGTGGTATCATGAAATTTCTCAAGAAGAAGAGTGAAAAGGGAAGCACATTTCCTGATCACATCTACCTGGAGACATTCAGAAAGCATAAAAAATAC